AGCGCCTTCTCAGAGCTCCCAGCTCATCCCTGCTCCGTGCCCGCTGCTGAAGAGGCTCTGTGTCCCCTAATCCATGCAGGAGAGGTGGCACCGGGCTCGCAGCGCCTTCCCCGCACATCCCGGCTGACCGGCTGATGAGCCAGCGCATTTCCCCAAACGAGGAGTGCTGGGGGAACCAGGGCCAGGACACGAGGTACCTGTATCATTTTTGATTCATATTTGTGGGTAAATGCTGTAAATATGAGGCAAGAAGATTTAAAAGAAAGTCGCTGAGCAGTGCAAGTGAATTAATTTGTCTCAGACAACATGCGGCTGGGTTGCATCCTTTTACAAGCAGGAACACTGTTTCTTTCCTATGCCAAAGACTGACTGCGTTTGCCCTCCTGTTTTACTTCTGCTGTGGAAGAAATTTAAGCAAGAACATGTATAGTGAATTGCTCAATTCCACCAGCGCCACTGAAGCTCACCTAATGATTCAGACCAACACGCCCTACCTGAGCAGCACCCCAAGACCCGTGAGCTCCTCTGCTCTTTACATGTCGACAGCCAGGGTGTTAAAAGAAGGGGAAATAAATAAGCCAGACCTGGTGACTTACATCATTCTATTTTTCTTTCTGTTCTTGACTGTGACATTCATTGTGTTCTTCATAAACTGCCAGCTGAAAAATTCTTTTTTTGCTACTCTTCCTTACGACAGATCGCTCAGGGAGGCAAGGAACCCGTGGAGGACACAAGCTGTCTGACACCTCTCATGCCAGCAGGAGCAGGCACCGCAAACCCTGTGCAATGAGGAGCTGGTGCCATGTGCCAGTGCAAGGATGTGAGCCCCTTTAGAGTAGTGGGCAGGAGGAGATTGCTCCAAATTCTGCTGTATGCCAATCTGAGTAGCTGTAAATAAAAAGCTCTGTTATGAACTGAAGAGAATGGTTTAGCAAATTGATACAGTTTTTGCAAAAAATCGCCCCGTGATTCCAGATTAAGCTCTGTGTGTATGCAAATGTCATCATCCACCCATTCAGTGTCCATACAAGGATAATTGTATTAACAACAATCTCTGATTTGGGCATCTGGTGGAGCTTGTTCCCCCATGTTTAGGAAACCAAGCATCAAATGTAAAAAAAACAGTGTATTTACCTAACAACTCCACAGAGATGAGTTTACTTTCTAGACCCATTTCTCCCAACTGCATGGTGATGCTGTGGGAGGCCTGCCAGGCAGGAGGAGAAAATGAAAAATGTTTATTTAGATTTTTGATTGTCATTCTGTTAAGGGTGTTTTTTGATGTTTGAATGCATCATTGATCAAGTCTAAAGTTACTACTTATGTGAAACACTTACTACCTAATGAATTTATTTTCATCTTTCATAAGCTGCAAAGGAAATTATTTGCCACAGCATGAAACCAAAATAATCAGGCTGGGGAGAAGTGGGGAAAAAAATTAATATATTTAATATTATGCAAACTAATGAGAAGTGTGAGCAGAGTGCTCCAAGTTTGATATACAAAGTGAGTAAGTTCTGAAAGCCATAAAACACAGCTTTATAGGAATAGTAGCTTTACTTTACCACTCCCTGCTCTTCATGTAAACCTAGCCCAATTTAGAAGTATAAATGATCAATATGACAACAGCTTGATTCAACACTGGTCACTGGCAGCCCCTACCATTTCAAATTACTATCTGATTTTGTTCTAAAATCAGAACAAAAAAAGCTCCTGCTTCGCACTGGTAGGTGACAAGCTATTTTGTAGATGCTGATTTCTTGTAAACTTGATTACAGCACAATTCCAGATGAAGCTGCATGAATGTGGGAAGAGTGTCCATAATTCCCACAAACAGCAGGCAAAGGACTTGGGGTTTGGGTTTTTTTTGTTTTGCTTTGTTTTGTTTTGTTTTGGTTTTTTTTAATCAAATGGCTCAACATACAGAATTGCAGCTATCCAGAAACACCTGGATACAGTGTGTTTCTGGATAGCTAAATCCCAAATCCTATTTAACTAAAAAATAGTCCTAAATCCTGTTTTAGCTGCAGTTTTGGGTATTGGATCATCTGAAATGGGTTCAAAGTGGTGTCAGATGCTGCTCCTAACCCTGTCCTTGAACTGCAGAGTACTCCAGAGGAGCTGCGTGTATATATGTGTAGATAAATTATTTCATCCAAAGGAGGAGATTTTACAATGCAATTATACACACATACAGGCTTGCACTCAAGATCACAGACAAAAAGTGTATATATGGAAGTCTGTTTGCAAGCTTCTTCTTTTATAACCCCAAAATTGCACAGTTGATAACACTTCCATGTCATTGTCTTTGTTACCATGTTTTATTTTGCTCCAATAAGCTAAACTACTACATAACAGATTTCAATATTTTATTCCTTGATATGTGGCCAATATTTCCTATGAACCAAATTTAACTGCTGTAATTCCAATTAATGCAGAAAGCAACAATAAATGCAAGTGTATTTCTCTCAGCCCTTTTTGAATAAATCAAGTTTTATCAAATCAGGAATTTCTTATTTATTTTTAAGTAATGACAGCTTGTTTTCAGCTACCAGCCATAATGAGTTTGGTCTAAGAATTTCTGCTGGCAAAAGCCTCAGAACCTGACAGAGCACATGTTGCTTTGCACTCTTTATTTAAACATTCAAGAATAGCTCCAGAATAATCCTGTTTTTCTCCACAGCCTGGTTAGAGTAATACTACAGAAGACCCTGTCATGCTGAGAGCGTTAACTGATTTTCTGGGAATGCTTTTATCCATGCCCTGTGTTGCTCTCATCAATATCCAGGATCATTTCTATTGCAGAAGAAAGCTTCATTAATGATATTCAGAGTCATAGAATCCCAGAACAGCTTGGGTTGGAAAGGACCTTAAAGATCATCCAGTACCACCCCCTCTGCATGAGCAGGGTCATTTTCCAATGCCAGGTTGCTCCAAGCCCCTTCCAGTCTGGCTTTGAGCATTTCCAGGGATGGGGCACCACCATAATTTTAGCCAATGTATGAAACATATGTGTAGAAAACTTTGTGTTTTACCAGGCTCAGAATTCAAGCTGGCCAAAAAATCCACTTTCCAACCACAAGCACACCAGGGAGGGACTGACAGGCATTGTTCACTTGCTGGAACTGTTTTATTGGATGTATGACACATGTGGGATCCTACATGGATCCTCCATCCCTTTCCCTCACTCTGCCAGTCACTGCCCTGCCCCTGACACAAACACACCATTCCCTGTGTCTTTGACCAAATCTCATTTTCTCAATGTGCCTTTTTAGAGCCTCTAACACACCCTGCAGCAGCCTCCCCCTCCTGATGGCTTTTCCTCAAGGCAGATTGGAGGTCAATACACTGAAACACGAAATATGAGTGAAACATCAGGAATCTGGGCCACGAGGCTGTGAGAAGCAGAGTGGTCCCCATTCAGAGAAACTCTTACTATTATAGGCTTTGCTTTCAAAAGATGAGCAGCCCCTGTAAGACTTCGAGGAGCATTCATACACTTCACATGCACAGCTAAGTGCTCTGCTGAATCAGGACCTGAGAGTTAAAGAGGGTTCTAACCCTCCCTCTGGGCCAGGGAAACAACTCATCACTTTGAAGATGCTTTGAAGCCGATGCCACTCTTTCAATGGATTATTATTATTATTGCGATATTTCATTCTGTTGTGGTATTTCATTCTGTTTGAATGCACAGGCAGTGCCCATGGGGAGTTTGCCACAGCCCTGTACTGAGTAACCAGGGACGAACCAGCAGCTCTGAGCTCCTCTGGGAGAGCATTCCAAACTGGGAGCTCACCCATCCCATTGCTCTACCTGAACACTGGGTTTGGTGACATTTGGGGCTCCAGCAGGACCCATCTTTCTTCCCACATTTCCTGCTGCAGGTGGGCTTCCCCATGAGCATTGGTCCTCCTGCACTTCCCTCTCCCCTTAAAAAATCAGGAGCTGAGGGTTTTCTGCACCCCATGCCACATGGCCATGACAGTTTCTGCTGGAAAGAGCTCACCTGTAGGACTCACAAGTCAGGGAAACTGCACAGCAAGACAAAAGCAAAAATAAAACCTAAGAGCTAAATATTCCATGTCTGTGTGGGGTGTCAGCCCGGTAACCAAGCCAGTGCGGCACAGCAAGGCTGTGTGACACGATCACACTCTCCAAACTGTATCAAACCACTGGGGCCACTGCAATTTGTAACTCACTTGCTGTAAGGACATTCTTGTAGCAGGTTCAAGCCTTGATTTCCTGGTGACAAGCAGCTGCCCCACTCCCACAGAGCAGAGTGTGGCCAGAGCTGACCCCAACAGATCAAAAGGTTCAGTTCAGCTCTGCCAAGGCACTGTCCCCACTGGACACTGCTGTGCCCATGCTCCTTGCTCTCCTACACATTTTGAGAGCCAGGAGCTTTACTTACCTGATACTTGAAACATTTAAAACAATGGAAGATACATCAGACTGAGATGGGGAAAGGAAGACCTGGATTGTGCTCACAGCACGTTTGTGTTTAGGAGGTTCTCTCTTCCAGAAACTGCATGTGTAAGTAGAGAAGTTTGCTCTAAATCCATTAATCCATACAGAAAGTCTCCAGGGCAACAAGGTACACAGACCCATTTTTTCAGGATGTGGATCAGAGGATTTCTTTTCCTCTTCTTGCCCTCCTGGTATCATCAAATTCTTCCCTGCAGGGCTGAGCATCTGCATAGAGCACCACTGCTGAATTCTATTCATGGACACAGCCTGGTCACTCCTAAATTTGCACTTTTAAGTTCAATATGCTGCATTTATCTCAATTTCTTAGAGGAAACTTAAGAATTGCTTCTATTAATTTTTTTTTAGTGACACTGCTCGCCAGAGATCTGAAATCTTAGAAAAAAATAGTCACTATTTGGCTCTTACAGAACAGAGCCCATTCTGTCTGTTTTGTGTCTGAAGTCAGTCACACACACAGCTTTGAGCTGTCTCAAGTGGCTCCTGAGTTTGCCATCAGCAGTTTCTCTAAGAGACTTCAGAAAATCAGGATTTGCAGGAATGACTGGGTTACACAGCACTTATAATTTAGTCCTGGAAATAAATTCTGTTATTGCAAACAACAAAGTTAGTTCTCAAAAAGAGAATGGAAAAAATATATAAACAACAAAATAAAACTGACCTTAGAACAGAAAAGCTGCTAATTTAAAAGATGTGGGGTTGTTTTTTCTTCCAATGCCTTATGGTAAAAAGGAGCCCTGCAAGAAGCTGGAACACAGAATGGCTGGAGATGACCCAACAGCTTCTATCCCCCAGAAAGTCACCCTTCAACCCCCTCACCTCACACCTCCATGGGAGTGAAGTAATTTTACAGAATTTGTCTTTGGGAGGAGGAATGTTATCTAAGTACTCTTATTTCTGAACACAAGTTGGAAACATATTTTCAAGACCTAAATCTGAAAAAAAACTTGATTTCACAATAATCTGCTGGTGTGTATAAATCCCACTTGTCCTTATGAGACTTTTACCTCGCCCCTGCTGTCCCACATCACCTGTAGCAGGAACATTTCTGTGCCATGGTCCCTGTGTGTGCAATCCCCACTTGGCAGTGCAGCAGCTCAGTCTCTGCTAACTCAGAGCATCCCTTTGGATGTCTGAGGCAGGGGGATGCAGGAGGTGACAGCGACAGAGCTGCCCGTGACACCTGGGATGTGCTGCAGGAGGTGACAGTGACAGAGCTGCCCGTGACACCTCGGAGGTGCTGCCCAGTCCTGCTGCTCCTCCCTCCAGCAGAGCAGGGGCAAATCAAACAGCACCAGAGAGTTCAGCAATTAAATATAAAACTGACTGAGCTGGCAGAAAGCTGCTCTGTACTCTAGGACAAGAAAGATCTCTCCTGTCACAGGGTAAAGGACACTCAGTGTTTAATTACTTTAATTTGCTTTTCACATAGCAGCCTCTGACTTATTTAACACATGTAGGCTGGAGAGGGGGTGGAAAAGGGCTGTTTTCACCCAAAACTTTTTTTCCATCTGTAAAAATCTCATGAATAAAGAATTTCAGAGGTTGCTTTGGCTACGTACTCCCAGAGTTGTTACTGCACCTCCAAATTCCCCAGAAAGACCAGTAAGATTTAAAAAAAAACCCAAAAAACCCTTCTTAATTTCTACATTATTAAAATTTTAATAAACTAATTATTTTGTTTGCTTGCTTTTTACTTAAAAGGCTATTCATAAAAATCCACATAAAGCTTCTGGAAAGCCAATAAGCCACTGAAACTTCATCTGAGATCCTGCTCAAAAATTAGCCTGTATTATCTGTGTAATACTACCACATCTAAATCTTCTGGGGATTTTCATGGCAATCATTGTCTTGGAAGCAAACCCATGAAAATAGTACAGTATCAAGAGTTTAATTAAAAAAATTCATTTTTACCTGAGTGACTGGATTCTCATTCAGAGGAAAAAAACTCTTATTACTGAGAAAATGTCAGAATTTCAGAGCATTACTGCAGGTGACAGTCTGCTGGTAAAATTAAATCCCAAAGCAGGAAGCCCAGACAAGATAAAGTTGTATCAACATTTTCATTTCAGTTTTATACTAAAAAAATCACTTGTCATTGTGGCATTGGGATTCAGTGTTTTTGTACTCATCCTGCCAAAAAAAGATTTAATATATGCACACCACTTTTCACCCTCTATTTCTGCAGTATCTTGGTAAACAAGGGAAAGGTTTTCTTCCCCTCAATCTTGAAAAAGAAGCTAATATACAGTTCACTAAAGTTCTAAATGTACATTTTACTGCAGCAGTACTGAGTTACAAGAGATATCTGAGCAGCCTTCAATTCACTGAAAGGCTCTTGGTCAGCAGTTCAAGCTCAACACATTCAGGCATGATGAGTTTCAAAATGTTATGGTTGGCCACAGTGGGAAAAAACCCCAACCACCCCCAAGTCAGCAGATTGCTGAGGTCTCACAGAAATACTTCAGTTGGTAGTACAAAAAATAGTTACATAAGTACTACCAAAATGATACCATTTTGGCTGGCTGCATTCTACAAGAAAAAAGAACTCTTTAAAATCAAGTTATGAAATAATTTAAGTCTCTGTTTCTGAGAGCACAGCAGCTTTCACATTACCAAAAAGCTACAGAAAAGAATTTTTAAAATACCAGGATCACCTTTGTGTGAGGAGAAATATGGACATGGAGAGGCATCAGCACAGGATAAATTAACCATTGTAAACAAACACTTGAGACACAGAATTACAGAGGAAGGAAATCAGAAGAATCTGTGGGGTTTTTGTTTTGTTTATTGAAATATGAGCAGCAGTATGCAAAAAATATCTTTAAAAACATAACATAGCAAAACCTAGTAATTTTAAAATTAACAAAATAAAAAGATGTTTAGAGTTAAATGAAAAAACCTCATTGCTAGAACTGTGTTTTCTACAATGTAAACAAAAGCATAAAGGTTATGCTTGCAACAAACACAGAAGCAGGTTTATGGAGCAGCACAAGAAAGCAACATTATATTGTAATCTGATGGTTTGGTCTATTGATTTGAATTCAGAATGGGAAACCCTCCTCAACAGAAACTTCACAACTCCAGAAGAAAGTTAGTCACATGTTTGTCATTTGAAGCAAAACATTTAGAAAATGGTTTGGTTTTGTGTTTGGTTTTTGTTTGTTTCTTTGCCTTTCCAGAAACCATTACCAGCACTTTGAGCAAGTAAGTAAAACAATATCCTGAAAAAGTGACTATTTCAGACTAGTGAGGGAGCCTGACACATTTCAATGTCCTCTAGAGTTAGACTGCAAGAATCCAAGTTAATCTTACACTCAAGAATTGACAACTTTCACATTTTAATACTGTGGGGGAGAAAAAAAAAAATCATTGCTTCAAGCAAAACTAAAAGAATTCCAACATTTTAAATAATTCTATCCTGAATTGTAACACCTGGGCTGTTTCATCATTCTTTTGCCTGTTGGGCTGTTCTGTCTGATTTGTCTCTCACTGGTCAGTCATGCTAGGTGGTTTTATTTTGGTCCTGTAGATTCTATAACCCAGTGTCAGCCCCTCATGCCTAATGCAGTTGATGAGTGTGACACACAAGGCACTGCCTGGCTGCCAGCAAGGCCCAGGTGTGTAAGGAACGCCAGCCAAGCTGCTGCCTTATCTCAGGGGCTGTAAAAGCACTGCCAGGAAAGCCTCCAGGATAAGCCTGCTCCAGGCTCTCTGCTGGTACTGCCAAAGCTGTCAACAGTGCTGGGGCTGGTGCAAAGCAGGAGGCCCAGAAAAAAGAAAATACACTACAAGAGCCAAATGAGTTTTTACAGAGGAGTAACACTCAGTCTAAGCTGGGCTACACTGGAAATGCTCCATGCACCACTCCCACACCGCTGGCTGAGTCCATCTCCCCATCCCTCTCTCTAGGCCAAGGGGTGATTTCTGCAGGGTGCTGTACCAGGAGCAGCACTCCCTGCTCTGGTGACACTTCACACTGTTGGCACCAAACAACTTTCTATCCAATCTAGCCATGCACCCAGATCTGAATATTGTATCAGCAGCACAGATGAACAAAACAGGATTAGCAACACCATGAACCAACAGCACACACAATCTGCTAACCAGAAAGCTCCCAAAAAGCCCTACTAGGAAAAAACACAGACAAATCTGACTGGGTTTGCTCCTGCAAGCCTGCCCTGCCAAAACCAGCAGTCACAAGGATATCCCAGCACTGCAGCCATTGCAGTTCCAGAATATGCACACAAGCAGAAAAATGCCAGAGCACTTCAGTACTTAATGACAGCATCAGAAGTGGGTTAACTGGATATTATTGCAGAAATTATGGTTCAGTGCATGGGTAGCCAATCTAACCACAATACTAGCACTAAACACCAGCTCTGGCTCACAGCACCCACTGCAGCACCCATTCTTGAGTCATTCAGTTGGCCACATAGAAGCATACAAGTGAACAGAGAGAAGCCAGGTGAAAAACATTTTGGATAAAGTAAAATCTTGTACCTACAACTGCAATCTTTCCTTAATTCAATGTGCCATGTCATTTATTACATAAGCTAGTCAAGAAATATAATATTCTGTAGTGTTAAATATACATATTCAGCAGCTTGACAAACGTCAGACCCCAAGAAGAAAATAGAAGCAGGATCCTGTGGCCAACTGACTTGGCATCTTATTCAATCAAAAGAACTGTCTGTGGGTTGCAGCTCCAAAGAATGAAAGGGAAGAAACCAAAGCTAAGTGGCAGATAAATGTTACTCCCCTTCTCCTGAAGATGCACTCATCTGTTTTCAAACATACTTGAGAAACTGTTTAAAAAAACAAAACAAAACACAAAAAACCAAAACAGTAATACAGAAATTCCTGTACAAGAGAACATTAGGGTTCTGCAGAAGTGTTACAGTTTATTCCTTTAAGGCAATTCATAAAAAACATTTTAATGACACATAAACAATTTTTATCCTCTAAGATCATTTGTTACTTAGGTACCATATGATGCACAATTTCCACATTTGAGGAGAAACTGTCATTCAACAGAAGACACAGGAACTTGTTTAAAAAATAATTTTCTCAGGTTTGCAGTAATTAACTGCAACACATTTTTAATAAGTATTTGCATAATAGTTTTCAGCCTCTCCTCCAAACACTGAACCCTTTTCTGAAAAGGTGTTCAGGAAAGAGAAAAAGCAAGGTGAGTTTAAAAAATATAATAAGGTCTTTCTGCATGCAAAATTTTGTATATAATTCACTTCTAATTATCTTAACATGTTTCTCTCAGCCTCTTTTTTATTATATAAAGGACAGAAATATGCGTATGCTATGTAATTGATTTTAGTGTTCAGTACAGCGTTTAAATTCTCTACTTTGCCAAATGCAAACATCATTAAGTTCAACCAAGCCAAGTGCAAGGATCCAGCAATCCCAGACACAGCTACAGGCTGGGCAGAGAGCAGCCCTGCAGAGAATGACTGGGGGGTGATGGCTGCTGAAAAGCTCACCATGAGCTGGCACTGAGCACTCACAGCCCAGAAAACCACCAGAATCCTGGGCTGCATGCCAAGGAATTGGGCAGCAGGGGGAGGGAGGGCACTGCCCCTCTGCTCTGCCCTTGTCAGACCCCACCTGCAGTGCTGAGCACAGCTCTGGGCCCCCAGTGTAAGAAGGATGTGGAACTCCTGGAGCAAGTCCTGAGGTCACAATTCTGCTAAAAGGACTGGAGCACCTTCCCCTGAAGAGAGAGGCTAAAAAAGTTGAGGCTGTTCAGCCTGGAGAAGAAAGGTTGAGTGGAGACCTCATGGGAACCTTCCAGCATCTGAAGGGGCTACAGGGCAGCTGGAGAGGGACTCTTTGTCTAGAACTGTAGTGACAGGACAAGGAGTAACAGGTCCAAACTGAAAGAGGCCAAACTTAGCTTAGACATACAGAAGAAATTCTGTACTGTGAGGCTGGTAAGGCACTGGCACAGGCTGCCCAGAGAGGCTGTGAATTCCCCCAAGCCTGGCAGTGTTCAAAGCCAGGTTGGAGAAGGGCTGGAGCAGCCTGGTCTGGTGGGAGGCGTCCCTGCCCATGGAGAGAGGGGGTGGGACTGGGAGATCTTTAAGGTCCCTTCCAACCCTTAACATTCTGTGATTCTTTAGATGTGAGAGAGAAATTCCATTGCCATATTAACACAGTCCTTCAATCCCATAAAGATGCCACAGCTACAAGTCTTCTGATTGAAGCCCTGCCATCAGGGACAGGATCAAGAGCACAGTTTTATGCAGGCTACAAAGAAGTGATTACTTTTGGTCATTACCAAGAGGTCTGAATTAAATTACATGATCTGGAAGTAAAAGCTTCTGCATTCAGTTACTCATTTGCTAAGCCACTCACAGTCTTCAAAGAGACTCAAACTCATACTTGAAAGTGAATTAAATACAGTGTAATCACTAATACTGCATAGTGTCTACTGAGAGACTAAAAAGGCCTAACACAGATCAATTCCAGACAGGTAAAATAAACAGCTAGAACACCAAAAAGAAAACAAAAACTTATTCCTTCCAAAAAGTAGTAAGCACTGCCATTTACAAATAGTAGTGTTTATGTTAAAATAGAGAAAGGTACCTAAAAAGAAATAGCCTTGGCAACCAAATCCAAACGGCATGAGTGTAAATCAAAGCAAAACAAGAATCACTACTCCAGAACCGTGCAGGATGTTTACCTTGGATCAATTACTACTTTAAATGGTGGTTAAAAGAGATATTACAAAACCAAAGTGGGAAAAGGCTAAGAACTGCTATTCTGCATTAATATACAATGTGTTTATGACAGCATTTTCCAATAGAAAATACAAGTGTTTTTACACCACTCCAATATTTGTAAAAAGTATATTTCATGTGTACATTTAAAAAAAAAAATCACATTGTTCAATCTGAGGCAAATTAGCCATAATAAAGTCTAATTTTGCTTATGACAGATGTCAACCTTAAGATGTTAAAACACTAAGCTAAAAATACAGCTTGCAAGCTGGAGCTGCACATGTTCAAACAGTTTCATTAAAACACATTAAAAAAATCCCAAATTATGATATGTATTTATTTTCTGAAGTCAGTCTTCATTAATTCTTGTCCCTACAGGACAAAAAGACTTTCCAGTTAAGACATTTGTCTGTTTAAGTTTTAAGGGGAAGAAGGGGAAAAGTGTTCTGAATTTTTCAATAGACTATTTTTTCCCTTAGGGCTCAACTGTCACTTAAGCATCACAAGAACAATTTGAAATGTAAAACTGATTAGCTATACACAATGGAATTGGTCACAAAGGGATCTTAAAAAAAAAAAAAAGTTAAATCATAAGATCCATTCTCCATATAGCTCACAGTATCCACTGGAAGTTTCTCTAGAATTAGAATAAGTTCACTAAAAATAAGGCTGAAGGTGGAATTGCAGCACTATGAAACAGATGAGATGGGATTAAGAGGAGAACCCATTTGTGTAAGTACTTTATCCAGCCACTGGAGGGGCCCATGAAGATGAATTTCTATCCAGCACGGGGTGCTCGTGACATCCTGCCGGTGATATTCAGCTCCCCAGCCCTGGAAAATGAACAAAAGGGTACTGAGCAATTTGAGGACATGCTTGTCTTTTAAAGTATCTACCAACAAGAAACAGGAAATCATGATCTCAAGATACTTATCTGAAGGTAATTCCCAATCTAGTCACACTGATCTAAAGGAACAAACCTGAGGCTGGGAAGGAGCAGGAGGGAAGCTGCACCTGGAATCCTGAATCAAGTCCTGCATGCTGCACCTCCTGAGGATGACTCCTGGCCATGGCCACATCTCTCTTCTCTTTCAACCTCCTGCTCCCTCTCCTCCACACTCTCAAACTGAGCTTTATTTGTCATAACTGACAAAACCAATGAGACATCTTTTGGACAAGATGCAAACAAAACACCTGGAAAGCCCAAGTTTGGACTCCACACTAAACCTGAGACAGACAACATCTTGATTAAGCAATGCTCAGGAAACACTCCTGTTACAATAACAGCACACTTTGACTTCAGGAACTCAAATCATGTCTTTTTTCCATATCCAGGGATTTTTTTAAACTAATAATCAATTTGAAGAAGCTGAAAATTTTCTTCAATAATTTTGCTCCTTTCTACTCCCATTCTTTTAGTGGACTTGTTTTTCACTTTACTCCTTTAAATTTAGACCTTGAACTTAAATCTCCTTTAACAAAATTACAGCAACCACAATGAATAAATTCCTGTCCTGAATACTAAAATAACTGAATACACAGCCAACACTCAATATAGAATCTGTGCTTTTCCTTTCTTGCATTGATTTCCTTCTCTCTCAGTTAATCACTTTAAATATAGTTATAATTGAAAAGAACCCCATCAGGCCAGAACAGCTTTGCTACAGTGCTAATGGAATTACTGCTAAATACCCAAACCCACAATAAACTTAAATACTCTCAGAATAATTTACCTTTACAAAACTCATTCGAATGGTGCACATTTTGGTGAGCTCATAGACTGCTTCAAATCCATGATTGACAGACTGAGCTAGAAGCTGAGCAAACTCCTGATTGTTAAAAATCTTCAGGCTGCATCCACTGGGAATCTTGCATACAGTTGTTGGATGAAAGCCATGGTGGTAGTTGCAGTTCCTGCTCTGTACAAATATGCTGCTATCACTTAAACACTCAGCATAGACTTCTCCACCAACATAGTAGAGATGGACTCCTTGAAAACAAAGATAAGAACATTTCAGATTACTTTGTTGTCTCTGATTTTGAGGTGGTTATCTTAAATTCTATTTTATTGGGGGGAAAAAAGAGAGTAAATTTCTGCCTGAGGAGGTTTTCAGGAAAGCTTTTGCTTGCATTATAACACACTGTCTCATTTCAACACAGCAGGCTCATGATACACCAGCCACTAGATGTCCTTCTCTGATCAATTACAGAATAGAATGAAAAACTTACTGTCACATGTCAACTGTTATTTCAAGCTATTTTTCTAAAGAATTTATGTGAATTTATTATTAAAACCCCAGTTTTATACAGCTGGCAGCTTCTGCCTATGCCAAGTAGAACAGAAATAGGTGTGTCCTGGGAGAAGGGTCAGTGATGGGACATGAATGAGAAAGAATATCCACAGTCTGCTCTGATTTTCAGTACATTTTATCAAGCTGAAGGACAGGTAAGTCCAACTAGCTGCTCCACTTAATTGCCATCAGGGTTTACAGACCTTAACATCAACAAAGCACCCAGATTTATCACATCTGTTTGTGTTCGGCTGTGCACGTTTTGAAGTCTATACAACATTATTATTGACTGAAAATTAACATACAAAAGCTGCCCATCCCTTCAGCATTCAAACTCAGGTGCTCCCAGCTGCTTCACTGAGACCCCTGCCTTCCCTCCCCTATCCCAGTTTTCCAGGCTTTGTTTAAGTCTTCCCTGCAATACCCTGAGAATGCACTAAGGACCATCCCGTGATGTGCCAGAGGAGGCTGCAGCAAGTCAGCAGATGCAAGTTAATCTTTCAGACAGCAGCCACTGTTGTGAGCAGTGCTAGACCCACTTGGGACTAAGGTAGGAGGGAGGTTGCAGAGGAACTGTTGGCTTCAACAACTGCAAGCAGCTGTCAGAGAATCTGGGGTGGGCAAGACTGCATTTTCACAACACAACCCTATTTATTTAAAAAGACAGTGACCACTTGCCAGCTACAGTAAAGAACTTAGCACACAGGATTGGGTGGCTCTAAGGAGGCAAAACCTCAAGACCTTTCAAGCAAAAGCCTTAAATAAACAGTATTTTATCTCTAAATAACCTTAATTGTTGTCAGAAGAGTCACCATAAAGCAAAGCTTAAGTTCAATAATTACTATTAGAGATGCAGCCATTTTAAAGCTCATTACTATTCTACAATATGATGATGGGTCCTGGTTACACTTCTGACCTTAGGCAGATGCACAAGATTTCTCTGCCAATACCACTAAAAGGGGTGAGCCAAAACAAAAGAGCCTCACAAACCACCCACGCCCCACAAATCACTTGCTTTCCCTTATAATATTATTTTATTTATAAATTTTTTTTGGACAACTGCAACGCAGGGCCAAATTTCCAACAGACACAAACAGAACTTCTGGTCTCCAAATTATCTGCAAAATTTTGTCATATTTATAGTTATTTCTAATTAAAAGACTGTTATGGGAAAGAATGAACTTTCATCAATCAAAACTCAAGACCAACTTTACCAAATGCTCTTAGGTGGTAGAAAGGCTTCTAAACATGTGCAAGAGAAACAGGGCTCTCTTCTAAGAACTGAGTTAATCGCAAAAAAAAAATTAAATTCAGAAAAAGTGTTCTACAATTGAAGATAATCCAGGCACATTCCATCAAAGATGAAAACAGTGCATCTCTATGTACTATCAGCCAAAACAGCAGAGGAAAACTAGAAGATCTTGCAAAACCTGCTGTCTCCAGGAATCCCTCCCACACACATCCACGCCCCATGGATTCACTCAGACAAATGAGCCCTTGCAGTTTTGCATTAGCACTTCAAAGTCCTGCTGCCAACTCACCAAGATATTTGAACATACTGTAGACAGAAGGTAATACCTTACAACAACAAAACAAAAAAAAATCTCTGACATACTGCAAAGGTGTATGCAGAATTTAAGAAGTAGATATAATGTGGAGTATCAGGACATATCCTGCTATGTTTCTTGGTGCTGAAACACAGATCACTACATTTACCCTAACAAGCAAGCCCCAGTGGCAATCTAGTTTGGTAAGGAAGGGGTAATATTTAGTCTTTTTAATTAATGACAAAGAAAAATGCATGCAATTCCTGACTAATTAGAATCAAACCATGCCTAAGTTGTTTTCTGATACTGGAGAGGTAGATAATGTATCACATCTCAGACTACCTCTAGCACTCTCATCTGAGAATTATCACTGCTGCAGTGTAGAGAAATAAAACCAAGGACTTGGTTCGTAAGACAAACTCAGCTTTACCTCTGCCATGAGACAAACCCAACTTTACCTTTGCCAGACAAACCCAGCTTTACCTTTGCCATGAGACAAACCCAGCTTTACCTTTGCCAATGTGCCGCCGAGTGTTCTCGATTGTTGAGTTGCGATTAACGTTGGAGAGCAAACCTAAGCAGAACCTGTTCTTGTTATTGGAGGGATCTGTAAAGCCATCTACTAAGACACTTGTGGAAGATGCATGGAAAGCCTCCCCAACACGGTTATTTAACTCATAATACACAATGGAACACCAGTGTTTGGGTTCTTCATAGGCAACGGGCTGAACATCTGAAAAGCAAATGGAAGGAACAGTTTAGGAAAGAGTTAAAACACTGAAGCTACAACTGTCAAGCAGACCTTCCAAAACACCAAGCTAAGTAAAATCAGAGTAAACAATTATGATGGGCAAGAAGTGTCCTGATTATAACCTTAAAGATTTTCACCTTTGTGCATTTTAGTTGGCCTGTTGATTTTACCGTTTTTTTCCAATTCTAATCCTGATATTAAACAAAAACAACCTTACACATACAGAACAGACTATATGATAAGAGGTAAAACATGACTCTTCTGCTCATTTTAAAAATATCTGTTATAACTGGGACTCAATTTTCAGAGCTAAATGTTATTCCAGCAACAGACAAAGGCAGCAGAAAAGAAATTTTAAAAAAATTTCAACTCACTGTAAGCAACATTATGCACCTGAGGCTTTGAAAGGAAAAGATGAAAATAAAAATAAGCAATGTAAGTTTAATTTCTTAATTATGTCTCTTATAGCCCAAGTAAGGGCCCAGGAGGACTGCTTCCACCCATCAGCAAGATTTATTGGCCCATCTTAAGTTATTCCTTCAGTTTGGTCATGAGTTGCAAGACACTAAACTAAGTAATTTTACACCAGACTACACAACTTACCTCTGGTAGATATATTTGGCATGATCTGAGGGATCATTGTATTGCTTGTGTCCATAGACTGTGAATTATCCTGCCCCATTTGTTCATCAGGGGGCATATATGCAGGAGGTGGAGTATCAGCTACAAACATGAAAAAAATAAGAGTGAACTTCAACAAGTTAGAGTATTTATTTATACATTCTACAGTTGTAAACATACAAAAATATTCCCAAACAAGATGTTAAAAAATTTGGCCTCATTTTCAAAGAAATCTGAACACAGCCATCTGCCTTTACAGTAAACTCCTTCAATAGCTGAAATTTCACCTATGGAACCAATAACAAGATTGGAAACTTGAAAAAAAATAAGAGATGCTCTTTTTTCTTTCTTTCTTTAATACCTGCACTCCTGCATTTGGGCTTGATGACTCTGCTTTCCCCTTTTTGTCACACAAACATGACCTTTCTTGCCTACTCTCTTCTCAGTGTTCAAAAACAAAGCAGTAGAAGAAATAACTATTTGCTTAGTGTAACCAAGGCCTAGAAGAGTTTGGGGGATTTGCTGCTCCTGCAGGCTGAGTTCATTACAAAGGTGTGCATCTGTTTTCTTCCATCAGCACAGCACTCAGTGTGGCAACACCCCACTGAGCCCCATAAATGCATCCACCCCAGTGATGCCAGTACTTGGCCAACACAGGTACTCTCAGACTGGGACACTTCTGGGGAACTGAGCAACCAGATTAAAAAGATTAGGCCACTGAGCTAGTGGAAAAATAAAATCTTTACTAAATTCCTGGCTGTATAAACTGCCCCAATAATCAGACAGAATCAGTAAGACTTCTTTCCTTTGTCCCTATGAATTGTTTTTTCTGTGTTTTCCAACTCAGTTAAACAGAATCTGTTTAATGCAATCTGTTCTCAACAAAAATGTTACTTTTTTCCAGTTAAACACCATATTTTACATGTTTTTATTCAGTGAAAGACATCAGTAAACTTCCTGTTCAGCATCCTGCATTTGCTTTCTTTTCATTACTAATTCTTCTTCTAAAGTATGGATTAGTTATTCTGTAGTGAAGCTGTGCAAAAAAAACTCACCAGTATTACATCCATGACAAAAAACAGTTGGAAAAATAAAACTGTAACAATTAACTCTGACCAGTGACAAAACAAGGAAATAAATCCCATAAAATGCAAAACAAAAAGCCATTTATGGCAAACACCACGAATGCCTGAGGTCACGGGTCACAACAACATGTGACATTTCAGTGATTTTTACTGAACTGCCATTCAGGCTGCACTCACCTGGCAGCTGAAAGGGACTGGATGGCCCAGAGCTGGCTGGGGAGCTCGGGTAAGTGCTGCTGGCTGGAGAAGGGGGGTAGGGGCTGTTTGGTGAGATGGAGAATGGAGTGCTGTTGGGCTGCTGGAAGGAGTCCGGAAACGTCGCGTTGTGAGGCATGTGCGGCTCGTTGTGGCTCAGGTTCCTGAACTGAACTAGCAGACTGTGCTGGGGGTTGAATTCACTATGTCTAGGCACTAACACTGGAGGTAGAACTGCAAAAAACAAACAAATCCCAAATGCATTTAGGTTAAAACTTGAGATATAAGGTAAGAGATACAAATATTCTGCTCATCATGATAATTTCAACTCTAGCTGGGGTGGAAAGAGGAAAGAGGAGAAGGGGATGAATCTGGCAAGCCTTTGCCCCATCCTCTCTCCTTTATTTTTTACATCATTGTTAATGAAAGATTCAAACTTTACTCTTGCAAGAATCACAAAAAAACCCACACACATTTTACACAACTCAAAGATGACCTTTTTAAAAAAATTAATAAACCAAACCAAGCTACATGTGGCACATACTGAAACACTGATGCAGAAGTGCAAAACTTACATCTGCACACGTTAGCAAATCAGAGAAAATGAGAATACAGTCTCCATTACTACAGTCAAACTATACAGTTACATATTGTCCTTTCCACTGATGAGAAACAAAATCTGCACTGCCATATCTTTTAACTTCAGAGCTGGAGTCTGAAATTCCAGTGCTACAGCAGTGCACTTGAGCACTACAGTCAATGCAGTAGAGTTACAACCACTCTGGGGAGCAAGGGAAGCAACTCCTCACCACACTGTCCAGAGCAACATTCTTCATCTCTCCCACTGCAATCCCAATCCTCCTCACCTTTCCCACAGCACATTTTAAGAGCAGGCTCCTTACCTGACACACACCTGACACATACCTTCCTCTAACTGATCACATCTCCTGCTTCTATTCATCTCTGCTGTCTCCTAACTGGAAGTCATGTGGGGAACTCTACCACCCGAGAATTTTATTAATTTTATTTTTCATCTCCTCAGTTCATGTCACACATTGATTAAACAGCAAGCTCTTGAAAGGCAGCCACCTTTCAAGGACTGAGATTTTGAAACAAGTTTCTCCAGTTGCAAGGACTGAGATTTTGAAACAAGCTTCTCAAAGAAAGTGAATCTGAAAGAACACATCACTGCTTTCTATTTCACAACAAAGGAGAAGTTTGCTACTAACTTTAAGAAGTCTGTGAGTAAAAGGTGATTAATCCCAAAGAAAACAGTTTGGACCATTAGTACAGAATGGACCACACACCTCCCCAAAACCCCACCAGTAATGTGCACTTTGAACATTCCTCTCCCAAACTGCCTCATACACCACTTTCAATTGGTTGTACAGTACCAGAGGAGGAGGAGGATGGAGTGAATATTAAGTGGTTACCAAAGATTCTGTTCAGTTTTTCGGACAGTAACTTTCAAACATACCTGGGCTCTCCACCCTCTTGTAGTGGTACGGATTGATGCAGACTTCCTTTTGCTTGGATCCAAAAGGAAATTCACAAATATCCAAGGGCTTCAGCTCGTGGTGGCTCTGCAGATCCGGCCAGCGCCACACACGGCAGTAGATGACGTGGGGAAGGCCCTTCCTGTGAGACACCTGCAGCCGCCCATCCAAGGAGCGGGGGATTGTAACGCACTTGCTGGGCTGCCCTGGGCTGCTCAAGGCCTTCTCCAGTTCTTCCATAGCACCCTTTTTCTTTTTCAGCTTTTTCACCAAAGCATCAACAGCTTTTTCTGCCCATTTTTCCTCTTCATCTCCTTGTTTCCAGCCCAACAGACGCTTTACAGCTGGGCTAGTAAAGGAGAACAAACTGGCCATTGACGTCATTTGACACAAGTCTTCAAAAAGTTTGTTGGGTTTTGTCTGTTGGGTTTTTTGTCAACTAATTTGTTTTTTTCCAAATAAATGTCAGTTTACACCCAAAGCACTTATTGCAGCTGATGAGCCGTGTTATTTCCTGGAGGATGACAAATGAACATAGAGATGTCAGTGATGAAGCCTTCGCATCAAAAACGATGATGGATTCCTCCAATTTAGTTCTAGTAAAAAAATAATTGAACAAGGAATTAGTAAACAAGTAAAGGCTGTGGTAAATAAAACAAAAGGCATATATGAGAACACTTCCTGTTTCAACCCCAGCATTGCACCTGACTTTGTTTCAAAACAAAATCCCAGCAGTACTATGTACACTTAAAAAAAGTGATCAGTCCCCAAAGCTTGCACTGCTGATTAGTGGGAAAAGGGACCATCAAGGGATGATGGTCAGTAGAGACAGCACAACTCCCATTAACACTCCTTAAATTGATTATTTTCTCTCAGAAAATAAGCTTGAGGAATGTGCTTTAAAAATAACAATATATCCCTGTCATGGTGCTGTGTTAAAAGACTAAATTTGCTATGAACAGGGAAGAGGCAGGCTGGAACCACCAGTTCCAAGGCCAATACTGCATGGAAACACTCAGCTTCTCAAATGGATCTTTATTTCCAAAAAGGAAAAAAACCTAAAGCATCTGCTTTTTCTTGAGCTCTAATTAGTTACCCCATGTTTCTGAGAATATGAAAAGAAATTAGGAAGAAACTGCAGACAAAGAAAACAAAGCACGATTAAAAGAAAACCCAATAAAAAGCACAAACCAAACCTTCTCCAGCCACCCAGAGAGGTGGTCAACCTTTTTTTAGCTGTAGCTAATTTTGTGCTGCATTTCCTTATATCTTTTAAGAAGAGTATTTGAAGAGCTGGATATTTTTAGCCTTGGCAAAAAAAAAAAATTGTTTTCTTCTCCCCAGAAAAAAAGAAGCGGGGAAAAGACATGGTGGAGTAAGCATTAGAAATGTGACCTTTACTACAAAGTGCCTCGGAAAGGAGAAGAGCAGAACAACTGGCTCATGAATGGTGTTTTACCACTCACCAGCCCGAATGCAAATCCTCCCCCCAGCAATTTAAGGAGTACCGATGACAAGAGGAAATGATGTGCTGTGGCAACGAACTGATAAGAACTTGTAAAATCCCTTGTGAATACTAAATAAGCAAGTATAGACAATGAGCAGCTGGCAAAAAGCAAGAGCAGAGCTAAGAGAAAGGATGTCAATAACAAAAGATGCTTCCTCTCTTGCTACAGAGACTGCCAAACAACATTGTCTCTCCACTTTTGATAAACCACGGTGAATTAGAACACCTACCCCAGCCCAAGACACCAAATCTGCACATAAGAGAAAAAGGGGGTGGGGGGAGTAAAATGTTAAATATCTCTGTGCTGGTTCTCTTAGACTGCTACCTTTAATCACAAAGATCTTTTTTCCTCCCATCTTTGATAAACTAGAAGTCATCTGAAAGGCTTTTTAAGTGTCTGGGCACATTAACAGGCTCACTCAGGCACTTGGACAGATCCTTCTGTGTAACAAAACCATGTGCTAAGCACCAGCAGCCAAAGCTACAGCAAACATCCCCAGGCAAGGCATTCATGTCCCAAGTGTAACCATCCCATATTTTCTACTATGGAGTTAGAGGGTGAGGAAAGCAGGGAACAACCCAAGGACACCTGGTGTTCCTTTACAGGAAAAAAATCCATTTATTTCATGTAGTAGCTTAATCCCGTTGGTACTTCTTTGATTATTCAACTTTGTTTCAGTAATATGGAAAAAAATCGGAAAAGCAAAACAAACAGTAAAACTGTTTGGAAGTCTTTCTTCCTACAGCTCTCATAAAAAAACAAAATGGAAAAAAAAGAAGAGAGAACAGAAATCTCCCACTGCTTCAGTAACTCCCTAGAAGAAGGTATTGAGAAAAAACTAAAGGAAAAACTCAAATAATTACATATCACCTGTTTTCTTCAGAAATATCACCATGTCTGCACTTTCAGACTAATTTAGATCCCTTGGACTATTACACATGAGAATCTTTGCACCCTTCAAAGTAACAGGAAATACATAAAGGGAAATAAACTTGGCCAGGAACTCAGACTGAATTTTTTCTTTTACTGAGGATAAAAGTTTACTGTTTCAAAAAGTAAAAGCTGTTTATGGTTGCAACTAACTTACTTTCAAGCCTTGCATACATTCAATAGCTGCAAGATCAGCAACTGCTCACACCCCTAGAAAAGGAAATGAACCCACCTAGAATCTCAGACCAGAGACAATTAAAATGTTCTATTTTTGCTTTCAGCTATGCTTTCAAAGAATCTTACGCATCATCAAGGCAGAAGATGCACTGGAAATTCCTCTAGTTAAGTTGAGCTCAAAGGAGATCTTAAACAACATCCCCTGATCTATCCCATTACAGGAGCCCCATCTGTATTAAGAAACCAAATTCAAAGACCTACAATTCTATGCTATGATCATGTAAAATTTCATTTTGTTTTTTATTATTTTGAACATAATGGATAGACTAGGAAAGATACTTTATTTGTTTTATACAATTCCAACATCATTTACCCACAAGCACACTCATGGAATAAACAAGCTCACTAAAAGGAAAGGAAGTTGGAACAGTTCTACTAAGATATTTTACAGTAATTAGTATTTGAAGAGCAAGTGGCAAAGGAATTATGATAAATGACTGTCCTAAAAACTATCACTTTGGAAATAATCTGCTCACAGTAAGTAACATAATTAACTCAAAAAACTTTACATTTGAAGGCCCATAATAAAAGCAATGCCTGGTAAAACAAGTATTTCAGAAGCATCAGAACAGATCAAACTGTTCTGATCAACAGGTTTGATCAAAACTGCTTGAGCTTCTTCAAAAAAAGTTTCCACATCCATGCTTGTAACTCTAACCACTGAAAAATGAGATGTTGAAGTCCTTAATACCATCCACTGTAACTCTATTTTGGCCACTTATGAGCTTTAAACACTCTCCAATAGAAGTATTTGAACCTGTTCAAGAAAATCAAGGGCAAGAAAGGAAATGCAACAGAATGCTAATAGGCTTTGAGAAGTAAAAATGACACTGAATTTATCCCATTGCACACCTGCCCAAAGTTCATTCTGGATGGCAAAACACTGAAGGTTTACAGCTTTTGCCTTTCTTAAGAAAACAAGGCAGAGTTAAAAAGGTTCATGAATCATGAGCTGGCTTCATGAGCTATTTAAGGCCACAAAGCTGTAGGTCCAGGTATTTAAGTAGAAACCAAACATTTCTATGTAGAAATCACAATTCATGCAGGGTTTTTAGATTTCTGAATGTGTGGCATAAACCACATTTAGAACATTTACTTGCATTTGCTGTAATTTCAGCATCTAACTCATGAAAGGTTGCTAAGTAATCCTGACATCTGCCAGGAACAGCTTCCCCAGCTCATCTGTACTTACAATCAATTTCTTCTGAGGCTTAAAAGCCCAAGTTATGAGCTGTGATTGCAGTACCACAGAGCATCACTGAACGCTGAATACAGAAACAAATGCTTTTAAAGTCACATTTTTCATTCAGTGGTGCACAAATTACTCCTATTGCTGCACCTCTAGACACAGCTGGTAACAACTTTCACGGGGAAAAAAGCTTGCTTAAATTTCCTTAAGAGGCAGAGGGTCTATTATGCATTACCTTCTTTTATTAAATAACTTTTCAGCTGAATTACAAGAGAATATCAACTGAAAACCACACTGTTACATTAAAAAAGCTACAAACACTCTTTTAGGAGGAGTGTAATGAATTACATGGAGTAGCATGAGGGGGCTTTTAAAGAGCAAGTATAAAAGGAAGTAATCGTTGCATCAAAATTAGACTTTGGGGCATGCATTATTTATACTTTAAAAGTTCTTGTTAATGACTACAGCAAATGGAAGGAAACTAGTTGGGTGAACAGGTCCATTGTTTGAATCCCCTCCTTAATACTTCATCCAGCCAGATATAAACAAATTCGCCAACAACAGAACCTACATTTCATTTATGCAGATGGGAGAACTCTATCACCTTCAAAAATACTGAGCAACCTGACTTCCCTTTATCAATTCTTGTGAAATTTCCTTAGCCTGCTCCATCAAACTGGCAATTTCAGTAGGTCCATTTGATGCCATACCAAGGAATCTCCTTCTGGCTAAAAGGACCTAAGCAAGAGTCACTGCAGAACAGAAAATAACATTAAATATGGTGAACCTATTTTCATGAGATGCATTTTGTGTGTAATGTATTCTCCAATTGATTCCAAACTAATTTCTCAGCTGCAAAATCTAGGTTTGAAGTACCATTAACCAAGCAAACCATCATCCCAAACAGCAGGGCAGTGAATGATGCTTTCACATGCACAAGAATAAAATGGGTAAAACCATTTTAAAATGGTTAAAACCAATGACCCTCATCCCTTCCTACAGCCAGTACTAAGGCTGTGTTCAAATGTACAAGCACTATTCTCTTCCCACTCATTTACTTGTTTGCAAATTCAGGAAGCCTCCTGCAGCATCATACCCAATGTGAAACAAGGAACTTCACTGCTGATGATTAGAAGCTGTTTTGAGACTCAACTTCATACAATAAACAAAGCACCACTTATAAGCAGCAGCACAACTGGGAGTTCATTAGAGCTGCTGCAGATCTGCAGTTAAAGCTGTTCTGCAGTCAGCCCTTGTGCTCAACTTTATTGCCCTTCAAACTCAGAAATTCTCAAGTATTTTGACTCCATACACACATTAACATACATATTCATACAGAAGGCTCAGAAACTCAGCTGCAGTAGTATATTATAGTGTGTTATGCTATATACACAGATCAATACTTTCTTTAAAACAACAACCTCACACATCATTTCACCTGGTTTTATTAAAATCCTTCTTTCCTTATAAATTTCCTGACAGGAACTGTGCAGGATTGTGCTTGAGTTTTACTATCATTTTCCCAAGCTCACATTGTAGCCCAGCACACAGTGCCATGCAATGGCACATATTAAGTCTTTTCTTTAAACCAAACACAGGAGAAATGTTAGTTCCACAGTTTCTCCATACACATCAAGCACAGAACAAATCCTAAGATGCCACTGTGGTTAAAAAACTTGTTCAATGAACTTGAAGGGCCTGCATCCTTCAAACCATTGCCACAACCTCTCCACAGAAAAGATTTCTCCTCAATTACCCTGTGCAACATCTCAGCCACAAGGAATACCACCAATGAAAAAACTTCTTTTGCCTCTTGTCCCCATAAGTTTAAGTAAAAGATGAAAGAGCTTTTATAAATTATATCAAAAAGGAACTTGTGGTATTTTCATGAGAAGTGGCATCCAGCTGACCAAAATCTACGGTAAGTGCTTCTACCCTAGCACTTGATTTCTTGCTTCAAGCATGCCTTGTAAGGCAATATAATCTAACTGATAATATATGTAAACAAGAAGAGAAAAGAACTATCTGGTATCTTCAAAACTTTTACTAACCGTGACTGCCCTGCAAACAGAAAAATCTACTGACAATTGCTGACAAGGCTGTCTCACACAATACTTTTGCTTTTAATTTCCACATCTGTACACCATGTCACATAGTTTAAAAAAATGCTGGAGCATTTAGCTCTGTCAGCTGAGAAGTATTTAACCAGCACACTCTTATAAAAAATCTAACAAACTCTGAGGCCAAGCACAAGCAGCAAGTAATAGAATGTACATGGAAGATTTAACTCAGATAGCAAAGTGATGCTTCTGCTCCTTCCTAAAGTTTTCTCAAAAAATAGTAGCAGTGATAATGATTTATACCACAAAAGAGGTCCAGGCAAAGAGATCACTAAGTGAGCTCCACTGCATTTCCAAAGCATCCTTATTTCCATCTGATGTCAATAAAAGCTCAGAAGAATTATAATTGAAGAACAGAATTTGTTCTGCATCATGGCAAAATTTGAATTTAACTCTGATACAGGGGAAGGGAGAGGGAGGGAGAAAACACCAAAACTTACTATGCCTAAAATGGTCTATTTCTCTAAGTATCCACATTTACAACAAAAAAATCCAATGCTCCCATGGCCCTGGTCTCTGCAGCTGCACTAATTACTGAGCAATTAGCTTATGTAGAAATTCTAAAAACTATAATTTCCATCTTAGAACCAACACCTGTTTTCCTTAAGCGTTTTATCACAACTGTATGTTTTCTCACTTTTCTGTTTCAGCTAACTGGCACTTTCCAGCAGAAGCATTATGCAACAGCATACAGCCCTGAAACTGCCTCCTGTTTTTAAGGCTATTTAAGATCTACTCTAACCAAAGCAGATAACTACAACTTACAATCCATTTCTTAATTAAAATTCCAGAGAAAAGCACTGCTACATTTCACTACATGAAAACAAAGGCCTATGCCTCCATTGGTAGGTTGGACATGGACAAGCAAGTGGGTGATTAGGAATGACCTCAGTACTACACTTGGAAACAAAAATGGGAAAATAAAGGGCATCTTGTGCTTTTCACAAACCCTAAAGTATGCTAAAAAATTAACAAGCTGGACAAAGCCTTCTAAAAATGTAAATGCTCATGGGCAAGACCTTCATTAGAGACCAAGATTCTAAATACTATGAGTTGGCAACAGAAAGTATAACCTGGAAAATGGGCCAGCCAAAAAGCTTTAAAAGAAGACAAAAAATAAAGATGTATATGTGTGTGTGTATACACTTCATTCCAACTGAATTGCATTAAGCCTGTGACAAGTTTACAAAAGCTACAGGATTGGAGGGAACACTTGACAATAGTAATTCAGCAAGTTTTTTTTTTCTCCCCTCGCACAGAATGAATGAATGGCAAAGTATTCTAAATTTGTCAGTTTGTGACATCCACTGACCCAGAATTCAGAGACACTACTTCATAGTTGGTGTATCAGTAGCAGGGACTCTGACAAAGATCCTCTGTCAAGGATGACAGTGCTGGCAGCACAAGCTTGGTGGTAGGTCAGTGGGGATAGGGACTTGGCAGGCAGCGCCCTGCACCGCGCCAACCCACGCTGGTCAAGCGCGCCCCAGCGCCAGCCAAACTCCTCTACGTGGTCACAGGAACACGGCTGAAAAGGCTTCCAGAAAACAGGGCAGGAACTTGCACTGTGACTAATGATAACGGCAAAAGTGTTAAATTACTGCTCAGCTTGCTTTTAATGAGCTGCTTATCGTTAGCCGTGAAGATATCTCAAGTGCACTCAGCTCACATAAGAATAAATCTTCTCATTTTGAACACGAGCTGCTTACCTGTTATTAAAAAAATCAGTAAAGATCTTTAAAGAAATATTAACAGATTAAAATAAAATTCATTCCACCAAATCTAAGAGAGACATTTGAAGAAACTTGCACTTTTAATTAAAAAAACCCAAACAAACATGAATATAACCAGCAAGACCTTAACTGGAAGGAAGGGAAGACACAGGATTGCACAGAATTGCCACAGGAGTATTTCTGCAGGTATGTAATTCAGCCAAGAGCAATAAAAGAGTTCCTAGCACTTTTCTAAGACATCTATAAAGAAAATAGAGGACAGTTTTCTGCAATTAAATGTGTCCTCCAAAGTATTAAAGATCACAACATAATTTGCAAAGAACATTCAAATAAGCCCAAAAAGTTCCTTAACTGAGCATGAGCATTCCATCTTGGGAGATATTTTTTCCAGCTCAAATAATATTCTGTGATCATAAAAACTCTGCACAGATCACCGACTCCAGGTGCAAGATTAAAAATCTGACTTCCAACAAGTACAAAATAGTACAGGGTCAACAATTACAGCTGCTCCTTCAAGTTCCATTAGAGGTTAAAACTACAAACCTCAAAAAAAAACCCCAAAAAACCACCCACCACAGCTGTACACAGCAGCACACCCTGTTGTGATCTTTTGTCACCAATAGAAAGAAATGAGGAAACCTCTCTTCCTTCTTTTCCATTTGCCAGCCCCATCATGATTGTCCATCTGGGCTTCCACCTGGAAAGTCCTCTTCAGAAAAAGAGAAAATTCCTATCTCACGTGTATGCCCTCCACATTTGAAAAGAAAAGAAAGGTTTGAAAAAGGTAGGTATCGCAGTAAGCACGTGGTTTCTTGGGGTTTTATTTTGCAGAAATAAGTGGCATTAGTCACTTAGCTGCAATTTCAAGGCCAAGTGAACAAAATTATAATATCAGAGGTAAGAGTAAACCACTATCAAACGGTAGGGATTAAGACATTAAATCCAACACAGACAGGGCACTCTCAAAAGTTACAACACACTAATTATGAAACATCTTCAATTAAGTTATTTGCTGCTTCTATTAACTTCCACTACCACTAGCTGCCAACTTCATAAAGCATTACAGGTTTTGATGAGCACAGGCACATGCCTGCAAGTGTTTGCACCTTTTTCTTTACTCCAGTCAAACTGTGATTCCTCAGAGGACCAGGAAGATATTTTGAGCAGAACTTCTGTAACTGACACACACAATGAACTACGCTCATTTCAGTTTTCATTCTTTTTAAAGCCACCCATGGAAGGCTAATTATCTGAAATTAACCAAGGAATGAAAACAGCATGAGATTTCATCTAAACCCATCATACACTGACAATCTAATTTCCCGTGACAGACAAAACTTTGCTGATGCAAATTCTGACAGTTATTCCTTGGAGGTTTTGTTACAGCAGTGAGCCCAAGTGATTCATTGCATGGAACTTCTAAATCCCTACCTATTCTACCAAGAGACTCAACAACTATTATTGAACCTATTCAATAATACATTCAACACTACTGCTGAATCAGTTCTTCCCTATCTCACTTTCCTGCGAAATATCACTCAATCACCTTACGGTCACACTAGAAACCCCACAACTGGAACAAAGCTCAGATCATTTGATTTCCAGTCTTGTGCTTTTAACCGCAAGAGCATATTTCCTCTATTAAATTTACAACCCGCAGAAGACAAAAATTGCCATTCTAAATCACCGAAGCTGTGCATCTGTTGTGAGGCAGCTGTCAGGGCTACACGCGAGGAAGGCCAAGGTGGACAAGTGTGAGTTTGTGACCGCTGTGTGTTTGTGTGTGTGTGTGTGTGAGCCCGCACATCGCCTCCCGCCTCTTCACCACCGCCTGCAAACGTGTTGTTGCTCTCCCCTCGCTCTCTCAGGCCTGACTCCAGTTAAGAGAGTCCTCGAATCCTCCCCAAAAAACAAAAAACCCGGAAAAATCCAAACAACAAAAATAAGACACAACCCTCTCGAGCCTCTGCCGCGCCCGGCGGTGCCCGCTCCCGTACCGGCACCACGCGTGTCCCGCGGGCGGCCCCGCGCTCTCCTCTGCCTCCCGGGGCTGCTCCTTCTCCCGCAGGCCGCTCCCCGTGCCCTCCCGCCCCGCTGTAACCCCCGGTGTCACCGCGGGCCCGCCCGAGGCCTCGGCCCCGTCTCCCCCCGCTCCCCCACGGCCGCCCGGAACCCGACTCGCAGCGCCGCGACCCCGCGGCCCGCAACCTCCCGGCCCCAACCATCCCGCCGCCCCGACCCACCCGGCGCGAAGCAGGCGGCCTCCCCGGGGCGGGTGTCCGTGAGGCGCCGGCTGGGCCGCGGCCGCCGCTGCTGCTGCAGCGAAACTTTGCCGGGGGAGGCGGCGGGACGGGAGCGGCGGCGGGGCCGGCGGGGCCAGCGCCGGGACCCGGATGTGCGCGGGGCGGGGCCGCGCGCGCGCCACGGCGGCGGCGGGAGGAAGCGGGAAAAGGGCCGGGCCCGGCCCGGGTGCGTGTGGGAAGGGGCTCTGTGGGGAATTGGCCCCGCGCTGTGAAAAGGAGCGAAATAAATGTAAATAATGAATCAGTGAGTAAGTGTGCGGGGTTCGGTGAACAGAAAGTAACGTGCCGCGTAACGGAGCGGTACAAAAGGCCCCGAAGGTCCCGCTGCGATGGCGGGCGCTGCTGGGGCCGAGGGCCGGCACTCTCCCGCAGTGCCGTGCGCTGCTGCCCTGGGCACTGGGCTGTCCTCACAGAGCCACCGGCTCACCTGGGCTGCAAAAGTGCTGGAGGTCACCGAGCCCAACCTCTGACCAACACCGCCGTGCCAACCAGACCATGGCACTGAGGGACACGCTCAGTCTGTCCTGGAACACTGCAGGAACAGAAATTCCACCTGACTGGGCAGCCCCCTGCAATGTCTGAGCATCGTTTCTGTGAAGAAATTCCTCCTTATGCCCAAGCTGAACTTCCCCTGGTGCAGCTTAAGACTGTGTCCTCTTGTCTTGTCACTGCCCAGGAGCACAGCTCGGCTCCTACCTGGCTACAACCTTCTTCTGAGGTGTTGTAGAGAGTGGGATGGTCCCCCCAGCCTCATCTTTGGGTGTTAGCCACAATGTCCTGGGGCAGTTGAGGTCCTTCAGGGGGCTGTGTCTCTGAGTAAATTACTAAGATGCCCAGTGAAGCTTCAAGAAAATGTGTCAGTGCGGTTAAGGATGGCTCTAGAAAGGGTTGCACAGATGAAGATTTTCCTACTGTGTATAATGCCACTATGGGACAGACTCTTGCTGTCCTCATTGTGTGACACGGACGTGAGCACTGCTGCCTCAAAGCTGCTTTTGGACTGCACCGAAGAAAAATTCAGAGAGTTACTGGGCCAGAAACATGTCCAGTGTGGCACAGCAATGTCTGACCTTGGTTAAGCATACTGCAGGCACAAGTGTTTCTTGTCATTTTTAACTGAGTGAATTATTAGATATGAGGGTATTTTAAGGAAGAATGAGCAATGAGTGCAAGGCTGACCCATGCTCAACTCTGCTCTTCAGGACCAGGTGGAACCATTCACCACAAACTATTGTTGAAGTCTGAACTCCAATGACTTTGAAAAATTAACTTTATATGGGCAATAGGAATGTCCACAATTAGAGGAAAGTATTTCACACTTCACTCACTTCACAACACAAAGGCTGCTTTCCTCAGACTGATCAAGACCAGCTTCAGACATACTACTGAACCAAGCTAAATTCTCGTCTGATAACTACAGAAATTCCTACAGAGAGTTTCTTCCTATGGTCAAAAAAAATTGTGTAGGAACAGATATTTGTGGCAAACCCAACACTTGTACATAAATTTGTGTGTCTGTTGTAGAACATGTAACTACAGTTAGAAATCTGGCATGCCAATTGTATCTGGCATGCCAACTGAATCTTGCTATCAGATTCCTTTTGGAAAAAAAATAGAAGCATGCAAATGTAGTTGAAAGTGATTCTATAAACGTATAAAAATACATATATAATTAAGTTACAAAGAAGCCACATGAAATCCTGTGTTTTATTTATGTCACTTAAAGGTAAAATATCTACCAGAAAAAAAAAGAAATCAAGAAAAAGCAATGTAAAGTTCATAGAAATAGGGAAAAATATCAAATGAGCTGAGATGAAATTTCAATTTCACGTATATTTGAGCTTTGAAGAAATTTTCTTCTGGTTCAAAACTACATGGCTCTTGGATGTAAACAGAAGTTCTTTAGAAGTCAATTAATAGCCCAACAGGATATCTCTACTAAAGTTCACGACAGCAGTGAAGGAGCAAGGCTTTGGTGTAATTTAGTCCCAGAACAGAGCTAACCTTTGGGGACTCCTCTGTATCTCTGCACCAGCAATTGTTCTGCTTTGGCCAGGCAGTCCAAAATATGGGACAAAAAATAAAACAATAACTGTTGGCTTTTTTCCAAATCTTTTGTGTAACTTAATTAATAAACCAAGTAACAAAACAAATTGGCAGCAGGCATTTTAGGTGTTGTTCATGTGCCAACCATCATGTCTCTGGAAAACAATATGTTCTCCTCTGTTGAGGAGTTACAAAACACTTGTATAGTGCTGGGTGAATCTACATCACAGAGCTCCAATGCACTTCCTACTGTGGAGCCTTCAGGGCTCCAGGGATGAGGGAAGCTGAAGGTGTGCATGCAAGAGTGTGGGGAAGACAAGGAAAACTCAAAGATTTCCAAAATTAAGTTTTCCTAAAAATTTAAAACTGGCAATGGAGACATGTCTGCTTGCAGCACACCCTTCTCAGAAAAGAGTGATTTTTAAGCATAATGCAAAGGCTATTTTGGAGTGGTAGCAAGGAATATGATAATTGGTCTGAGCAGTAGGTTTCCTTTTTTTTTCAATGCCATTTTGTCATAGACTAATGTTGAACGGGTAACCCCCAAATGTCTGAAGTCAAATTATCTCTTTGATAATTGATGAGACTGATAAAATACAAAACAAGTGACATTTGCTATCTGATGATTCAAGTCTGTGTGCCCTTAAGGCCACAGGAAATTTAACATCACTTTCACCTATTCATACATGGTCTCCATCATTTGGATCTCTAGTTAGTGCCACATTCCAGTGGGTCCACTCCAATAACATATCAAGTTCAATAAAAGGACAACAACGAGATTCAAAGCACCCTGGACACATTTTCCAGAAATCATGTGATTTCACAAATTCCTGAATTTCACAACTCATGGAGCCATCGATCCTATTTTATCACTGTCAAACCCTGATTTTCCAGCACACAGACAGGCAGCTGTGTTAATCCAAGGAAAAACGACTACCTAACCTCTCCCTTACCTGAATGTTTTAAAAATTAAATTATGTTAAATTCTGCAGAGACTACTACACATGTTTATACTTTGGGTCCTGCCTTCTAAAGTCATCTGAAGTACTAATACCTGTCTGATTCCTTTTGTGCTCAGGCTAATGGCAATGAGGGCAGAAAAGCACCTTCCCATAAGGCTGAGTTACAGTAGGTGAGAGATAACCTCAAAGTCCGATCAAAGTACAAAACAACCAACAGGAAAACTCCCTACAGCTATCAGGCCTTCTGTGGTTGAGAAGTGTGAAGTTCTAGAACTGTCTTAAATTCCATTGTTTTCATTTTACTCTCCAGATATGGAATACTATTCCTATATTTCTTAATGAAATTTTTATTTGGTTAGAAGTGAATTAGTATGAAAATCAAATAGATGGTTTGCATTATAAGGAAATAGTCTTGAAAAAAAGTTGCTTTATTACATAACTTTGGCTTTCCTGTAATTTCTTAAATGGCTGTATTGTTCAATTTCATTCTCTATCAACTTTCTAAATTGCTGGGGGAAGAAGGTGGAATGTTGTTTAAAAAGAAAAATAAATATATGTAAACTGTTGCCATGTCTCTACCCACATTAAGCATTTGCAAAGCTACTTTATGTTAAAAAAATCCTGTAGTGTGAAAGATGGCTTGGATATTTAAACCAAATCTATCTTAAAAACAGAATTGGGGGAAATGGATAGGATAGCTCCAGAAAGTTCCACTCTCACAGCTGTCAGCTGAGAAGAAATGGGGGAAGGGGGAAATGCTGAGAAAGGAATCTTTTTTTTTTTTTTGGCAGTGAAGAGAGGAACATGCCATCCCTGTTTGAAAAGTTTCAGGGTGGGAAAGGCTAAGGAGGGGCTAACATACTATACATACCTTTATGTATATTTTTGAGGCAGAAAAACAGTGTTGTGTTTAAGCAGAGTTCAGCAAGTGGAGAGGGAGGTGACATCCACTCTGGCCATTTGGTTCTCTTAAATAAGCCCACAATTGACAGCAGGCTGAGAACAGGCACAGGAGGTGGTGAGAGGCTGCCTCCCAAGAAGACAATACAAATGCTGTGTACCTTGCATCACATATGTAAGAAAATGGAAATAAGCTTTAGTGTCTGGAGGAAAGATATTGAAGTGTTTATCTGCAAGGCCCTCAGAGGTGTAGGCTCCTGTGAAGGTACACTCATGGCTCACAGCCTTTGAATCCCCAGAGCTAATTCTCAAATTAAGTAGCCTGTTATTGTTACAGCCACACTTCTGGGTACCTTGCATGACAGCTCACAGAGAGAAAGGGAGAGAAGAATTAGCCTTGTTTCCTGAAGCTACAGATAGAAGACATTAACATGAAATTGTAGGCCAGGGGAGGGAAGGCAAGCCAAAAGTATTCTTCTGAGCGAGTTTAAAGCTGCAAACTTCTCTTCCTAGACTAGAAGAAGAACTGGGCTGAGACACATACCTGAATAATGCTATGGGACATCTGTGGAGATATTAGAAACAAAGACATAATTATGTAAAAGTTTTGTAAGTTCAGCTCCACTGCACAGAATAAAATTGTGAATATACTGGGTATGGTATATCCAGTCCAACAGACCTGAGAGTCACTTAGGATGCAAAACTGAACACATAATTCAAGAAAAAAAGCCTGAAAAACATATTAAAAAGAAAGGAAAAGGACACTGCAGGAAGAGTAAGATGTGTATGAAGGTATGAATAAGAGCATTTGCTTGAGAACTGTCACAAAGTCCTCATCAGAGTGGGAACCACCATTCATTGACACCTGTGGATAGAGTCCAGCCAGGGCAGAGTACTCCGAAATCAGGTCTTCTTCTTGGAATGGGGTGAAAACCTTCCCAGAGAAATGGAAAAAATGTCCCAGCTGATGAATACAAAGTATTATAGTGCTCTCAGAGAGGAAACAATAAAGAAGATAGTTTTAAACAGCTTGAATCCTTTGAATATTCTTCTGGTGTTATTTTTCTGGACCATCCCCAGCTTGCCCTCACCATCACATCAGCAGCACAGAAACATGCAGTGCTCTCATTCTTCTAAATCAGTGATTT